TTTGTTTGTTTGTTTGTTTGTTTGTTTGTTTGTTTGTTTGTTTGTTTGTTTGTTTGTTTGTTTTATTATTTTGTTATATTTATATTATCTACATTTAAATATATTTTATTTTTGTTTTTATTTTTATTTGGTTGTACTTCTTTCTTTTTATTTATTTATGCATACTTATTTTCTTTAATTAATTAATTAATTAATTAATTAATTAATTAATTAATTTATATTTATTTATTTATTTATATTTATTTATTTATATATTTATTTATTTTGTTTGCAGCAAATTTGTATGGGGCTCCCGTCATAGGCCCTTACGGGCGTTGGTCTCTGTTTGTTAGCGACCTCAGCTTAGCAGCAGAAGGAGACAGCAGTTCGTGGGTCGGAGAGGAGGAGACAGAAGCTGTTGCTGCTCCTGTTGCTGCTGCTGAAGCAGCAGGATCAGCAGCAGCAGCAGTAGCAGCAGCAGGTGCTGCTGCTTCTGCTTCTTCTGCTGCTCCTTGCTTTGGTTCTCGCTTCTTTTCTGCTGCAGTGCGGACAACACCTGCTGTTACATGTTTAAAGAAGAAGAAAACCCTTTATGATATAGTATTAGAGATAGAGGAGGAGCAGAGACAAAAAGAGCAAGAGAAAGAGCGGATTGCTGCTGCTGCTGCAGCAGCAGCACAGGAGCAGCAGCAACGGGAGCTAATGCAGCAGCAGCAGCAGCAGCAACTGTCTCCTCGGGGTAAAGGACCTGTTGTACCCCACATGTGTGTAGCTGAAGGAGAAGGAATAGAGAAAGGCGTTGCAGGAGACTGGGCGTACTTTACATTAACAACTAAAAACGCGAAGAAGGAGACAGTAGAAGCAGCAGAAGGGACTCTGCGTCTGTCTCTTGATTCTACAGGATATCAAGGTCTTACCCTTCACGGAGACAGTTGGGAAGGAGATAGTGGTTGCAGCACAACAACAACAACAGCAGCAGCAGCAGCAGCAGCAGCAGCAGCAGCAGGTAGCAGCAGTAGATGCATGCAGAGAGCAGCAGCTTGGGTGCCTCCCTCTCTACGCTGGCAGGTGCAGCAGCAGCAAAGGGGTAAACTCAGAGTTTCTTACTCTACAGACAAGCCAGGAGGATATCTGCTGCATGTTTCTTATGAAGGACTACCTGTTGCAGGGTCTCCGTTTTATGTTTTGTTTACTTCAGGGCCTCCTTGCCCTCTGGCTTCAAAAGTAATTGGTTATGGTGCTCGTATTTGCTATGCTTCTCCTTCTCTTCCGCTGCAGCACGACAGCAGCAGCAGCAGCAGCAGCAGCAGCAGTCAGGGAAGGGAGGGAGAGGAGACACTTACAGCTACGGATCTGCTTCCGAGAAGTAAAACCCGACAAAAGTTTAAGCACTTCATCAACCAATTCAAAGTTATTGTATGCGATACAAATGGTAAACCCTAAACCCTAAACCCTAAACCCTAAACCCTTCCACATCTGCGCAGGAGTGCAAGGGGCACGCAAACTCATAGCAGGTCTCCTCATTGGACATGGGCTTTAGGGTTTAGGGTTTAGGATTTAGGGTTTAGGGTTTTATAGGTTATTGAGTAGAGTTGATTTCTTATCATCGTTTACAGCGGCCGTTGTCTCCTTTTTGCTGTCTCCTTTTTGCTGTCTCCTTTTTGTTTATATTTATTTTGTCTCCTCTCTCCGCTTGGCTGTCTCTTCTTCGCTGTCTATTTATTGCAGTCGCCGCTTTGCTCTCTTTACTGTCTCCTTTCTTTTACCTCTTCTTTCCTGTCTCCTTTATAACTGTCTTCCCTATAACTGTCTCCTTTTATAACATAGCTGTCTCCTTTATAACATGGCCGTCTCCCTTTATAACTGTCTCCTTTTATAACATAACTGTCTTTTTTTATAACATGACTTTCTCCTTTATAACATAACTGTCTCCTTTACAACTGTCTCCTTTCATAACTGTTTCCTTTTATAAGATAGCTGTCTCCTTTGTAGCTGCCTTTGCAAATGTCTCCTTTTGTAACTGTCTCGTTGTATAACATATCTATCTCCTTTTATAACTGTCTCCTTTTATAACTGTCTCCTTTAATAACTGTCTCCTTTTCAGGGAATCGAGTGCCTACAGGCGGGCACAATGTTGGCGTACGGGGGTCTCGAGGAGCTAGGGTTTTGAGGGTTTGTGATGAAGGCAATGGGGTGTATAGAGTAGATTATATTGTCAGACTTCAGAGACTGTCTCTTCTCAGCGCTTCGCCTGAGCATCTTCGTTTAGCAGATGCTGTCGCCAGACTCCTCACCTTTCAGCAGCAACAAGCAAGCACAAGCCTTGTCCAAAAATGCATGGTACATCTACAAGGGTTTAGGGTTTAGGGTTTAGGGTTTAGGGTTTAGGGTTTGGTTTTAGGTCGGTTGGCGTAGCTGCATGGAAAGTGTTTTTAAGTTGGTACAGCGCAGAGGTTTATACTGTCTGTAGTGTTTAGTGTTTAGGGTTTAGGGTTTAGGGTTTAGGGTTTAGGGTTTGTGTGGGGCGTTGTGCAGGCCCTGCAGCGCGAGGGTTTGCTGCCCTTTACTAGCTGTCGAATAGAGATATTCTTATACCGCAAACCCTTATTGTGTTCGCCTCTTGAGCCCCTCATTGCTAACTTTGAAGAACTCCAACACATTTATCAACAGGCAGAGGCAGCCACGCAGCTGGGTAAGGGTTTAGGGTTTAGGGTTTAGGGTTTATGGTTTAGGGTTTAGGGTTTACGGTTTCGGGGGATTAGAGCTGGGGGGCATTCGCTGCATCGCAACAAGGGAGAAGGGTTTAGGGTTTATAACTCGTCAATAAGGTTGCAGGGTGCATCTGTAGGGTCTAGGGTTTAGGGTTTAGGGTTTAGGGTTTGCGGTTCAGGGGCGTCTATCCAATTATTTCAAGACTGTCTTCGGAGCGGGCGTCACGACAAAGCCGCGCATATTCTCGATTCTGTTCAGCGTGCTTCCTTCTCTGCTGGGGTGCCTTTAAACCCTAAACCCTAGACCCTAAACCCTAAACCCTAGCCCCTGGCCCCTTTTAATCGGCTGCTGTGCAGCAAACCCCTAATCCCTTTTACTAATGCCTGAAGTTGCGAAACCCTAAACCCTAAACCCTCCCTTTTTTCTGCGTTCCAAAGCCCAAGATATCTCCGTCAGCAAACCTCCTGAGGGTTTAGGGTTTAGGGTTTAGGGTTTAGGGTGAGCTATGTTGTGTATGCAGCTGCGGCGAGAGGCGGAGGAGGCTTTATTTCGTCTCTGCTGCAGCAGCAACTCTCCTCGAGTTAGTTTGGAGCAGCAGCTGCAGCAAGGAGACAGCGAAGAAGACATTGAAGAGCAGCAGCAGCAGCAGCAGCTGTCTCCTGAAGAGAAAAGGAGACAAGAAAAACAAAGAATAAGAAACCTGCAGCAGCAGTGGGAAGAGATTCAAATCGTCCGGTAAGAGAGAGAAACCCTAAACCCTAATAAACCCTAAACCCTAATAAACCCCAAACCCCCTCCCAAACCCTAAACCTTGCACCTGCAGTGGTACACCCTGAGGCATCCTAAACCCCCATCCTATTAAACCCTAAACCCTAAACCCTCACTCTACAGCTTCCAGATTCCTTTGTTTCGTAAGTTGTGCATTGTTCAGGGTTGAGCCTTTTAGGGTTTAGGGTTTAGGGTTTAGGGTTTAGGGTTTGGTGGTTTGTGTTCAGGGAGTCCCTGATAAAGTTATGTGGGGAGTCGGATAGACAGCACGAGCTAATGACGAATGTCGCCCAGACGATGCTGCAGGATTTTGCACAGGGACTAAACCCTAAACCCTAAACCCTAAACCCTAAACCCTTTGGCGGAGGAGGCCTTTGGGTTTACTGCGTGCATGCAAGCAGAATGTGTTTTACTTTTTTCGTTTCTATGGCTGATAGGGGGAGGAGACAGTTGAAACCGCCACCTGGGGTTTGAGGGTTTAGGGTTTAGGGTTTAGGGTTTAGGGTTTGGAACACCTCCTCAAAGGACAGCCTTAGTGCAGCGTTTGCTGCTGCTACGCTTGCCTTTGTTGCTGCAACTATCTCTTTCCGTCTTCAGTTTAAGGTTTAGGATTTAGGGTTTAGGGTTTAGGGTTTAGGCTAAACCATGCAGCAGAAGGAGCACCATTAACATTTAGAGAGAAGCAAATGCAGGCAAGAGACTGCAGCAAAAGAGAAAAAGCAGTGTCTCCTTCTCTGCTGCTGCTGAGGGGAAGTGCTGCTGCCTCTGTCTATCTCCGTTTGTGCTTAGAGGAGACAGACAGCAGACGGAGACACCTGAGGGAGCCGCAGAGCTCGTTTCTGTTTCTATAGAGCAGCAGCAGCAGCAGCAGCAGCAGCAGCAGCTGAGCAGTAGCTGCTGCTGCTGCTGCAGCCGAAGCCTGTAAGACAAACAGCAAAAGAGGAAGTGTATCTCGAGAGGTAAAAGAGACAAAGAGGCCTTAAAATGTATTTCTGCATGCGAAAGAGAGACACTTGTTTAAATATTATTGTCTCCTTCTTCATTTTGCTGCTATTCAAGCATTTGCTCTATAACGCACACAGAGAAGATGCCTCTCAGCCCTATCTACACGCTTCTGCTGCAGCTGCTGCTGCTGCAGCAGCAGAAGGGGCAGCTGCTTCAGCAGCAGCACGAGCGGCAGATGCTGCTGCAGCAGCACAAGCAGCAGCGCTTGAGCAGCAGCAACAAGCTAGCGGCTTCTTCTGCTGCAGCAGAAGCAGAAGCATATAAACAGCAGCAACGAGGGAGGGACTAGGAAACAGCAGCAGGACTCACTTTTGCTGCTGCATGCATTTAGCCTTGAGACACGAGGGGAAGGAGACAGTTTTTATTGCATTTAGGAGACAGAGAGACAGCAAAGTGTCTGTACACCGCACGCTGCTGGGGGGCCTTTTGTCTCTGCTGCTGCAGTTCGTGCAGACTCTTAACTGCTGCAGTTGGAGACACTTTAAACCCGTTATTGTGTTTGCTGCTGCTGCCAGTCAGAGAACAGCTGTCTCCACACGACATAAACAACAGAAAAATACTTTATTAGTACAATAGCAGAAGGAAGAGACACTTAACCAATACATGCAAATATATATATATATATATATCTAGGTATAGTATATAGCAGATGTTTGCATGCATTAATATATTATTATATTTTATGAATATATCATGCTGTCTATCACGGCGTGAGGGCTCGAGTTGGGGTTTAGGGTTTAGGGTTTAGGGTTTACGGCTTTGTAGAGAATCAGAATATTTAAACACAAGGGGAGATTCGCCACCCATAATTGAAACTCTGTAAACCCTAAACCCTAAACCCTACACCAGCAACACGAATATGTAGAGGAGGCCTTGAATAGAACTCAAACCCTCACAGCTAAAGGCAGCCATTAAGAATAATAATGCCTCCAAGACGGAGGGTTCTTTTGAGGTGCTACGCAGAGATTGCACGAGTGAGAAAGAAGCAAAGAGTTGGTGTGTATGAACAGCAAAACGAAGGCGTAGACACTATAAAAAATATATTTGCGAATATAATTACGGACTTTCACTGCTGCATTCATAATCATTCATGAATAGTTTTCTATTTTAATTTGTTTATTATTTAGAGTTAAGGCTCTACTGACTGTAAAAGAAACAAAGAAAAACTCCTTGGGGCTTCCCGATTCAGGTTTCAGTGGCTTGAGGCAGGGGCCCCAGGAGGCCCCCCCCTATGAAGAGGGAAGGAAGAATAAAAAGAAAAAAGATTGTGCAAAAGATGTAAACTTAAGCAGAAAAAGGAGAAAAACAAACATTGAATAAATGCAAAACCTCAAATTAATGCTGCTATCATCTACGAGCTGCACAGACACCCGAAAAGAAGAACCGGTTGGTCCGTCGGCCCGGTGTGGAAATCAGATTTTATTTTTTATGTGTTTCTTCTTTTTCTTCTTCATTGATGCTTCATTACTTTCTTAGTTTAAAGTATTAATATATATTTCCTTTTTGTTCTCTAAATCTGCCTTCTTTATTTAGCCATTACCTTCCAGCCTCCAGGTTTCTTCTTTATGAACGACAGACAGACCGACGGACCGGTGCTGAAGGGCATCGCGTTGGAGGGGGAAACTTGCATAAAATTCTGATTTTTTTGGTTTATAAATCAAAGTAAGATAAATGAATTCCTTTTCCGGGACTTTTAAGCATATTTACTCCGCTTTCACCCTCCTAGCAATGCCCTGAGGCACGCCGCATCGTTATTGAATGGTCTAGGAGTTTCAGAGGCCGCAACCGGTGTAAAACCCTCAAGTTCTTCTTCTGTACAACTTATGACGGAAAATGACGGACACACAACTCCAATGGGAGGATATTCAGCTTGTACGGTGAGATGCGCATCTTCAGTAGGAGAGCAGCACTCTATAAACTTCATACACCCTAATAACCCCTAATAAACCCTAATAAACACCAAACCCCTGTAAGTCATACACTATCAAGGCTAAGAACGTTAGAGGAGACCCAAGCCCTTCTTACTGAACTCTTCTCGACTTAATTGTTTAGGGCCTGTTCCCCGGCAATCAAGACCAATGGTTAATGGTTTAGGGTTTAGGGTTTAGGGTTTATGAGGGTTTAGGGTTTAATGAAACTGCTGTTCAGGGAGTCCCTGATGAAGCTGTCGGGAGACACCGAAAGAAAACAAGAAATAATGAAGGGATTCACAGAGACGCTGCTGCAGTGTCTGCAGCTAACTCAAACATGCAATTTGCGTCTCCTAGCTGAACGAAACGATCTCGCGTAACCCTAAACCCTAATAAACCCTAAACCCTAATAAACCCTAAACCCTAATAAACCCTAATAAGGCCTACTTAAGGGCTGCATTGGGGCTGCGCTGAGAAGATGCACAGCAGCGACAGAGCGGAACCGACGCTAAACCCTAAACCCTGAATCGCTTTACCCGTAAACCCTGACTGGTTCAAACCCTAAACCCTAATAGGGTATTCAAACCCTAAACCCTTGCAATACTTTCTGTGTGTGTTGCTAGGCGGCTGCGAGACGAGAATCTGCTGCCTTTGGCTGGGGTGCTGCAGCAGCAATACGTGCAGCAGTTTCGCACTATGACGAAGCAAATATTAAATTATGTCTCTTCTTTAAAAGACAGAAACTTCTTCAATCTGGAAGAGCTGCTCGTTACCTACGCCAAGATTGCGTAAGGAGGCCGCACGACAAACAAACAAAAAGCCCTACTGCCGTGCATGCATGCATGCATGCATGCATGCACGGTGCTGCTGGAGGAAGACAGCAGCGGGGAGAAGCTGGCTTCTGCTGCTGCTGCTGCTGCTGCTGTTGTTGTTGCTGCTGTTGCGTGATTGGGGTGTATGGGCAGGTTTTTGGGGTGTATAGGGAGGCGTGTGCATGTACGGATGGTTGGGGTGTATGTACAGCGAAGAACTGCGGCTTCTGCATCGCTACGCTTTAGCAGATATCTTTGATGAGTTGAGTGCATGCATTTGCGAGGAGATAGAACTGCGGCGTCTGGAAGCAATAAGCGAGGAGCGGCAGCAGCTTTGCGATGAAGTAGAAGCAGCAATACAGCAAAAAGAGCAGCAACTTCAAGAAATAAAAGACAGACAACGTAGCAAGTTTGAATCTATTGAGAAACTCAACATGCAGGAAGTCGCCGAGATGTGTGTTACAACAGAACACAAAGGTAATCTTTATGTCCAACCTAGGGTTTAGGGTTTAGGGTTTAGGGTTTAGGGTTTAGAATTTAGGGTGTAGGGTTTAGGGTTTAGGGTTTAGGGTTTAGGGTTTTGGGATTGCCTCGGGGTCTCCTTTTGTCTCCGCCTGTTTCGTTGTGCTTATTGTGTGCTGTCTCTTCTTTTGTTTGTGCTGCGTTTTCATTTCTTTTTGCTTCTTTTTTGTCTCTGCCTCTGTCTCTGTCTTGTTAACTTCTTTTCTTTTATTGTCTCTCTGTCTCCTTTTCTTGTATTTCTCGTTTTAACTTTATTATCTGTCTCCTTTTCATTGTCTCTTCGCTGTTTGCTGTTTGTTGTTTCTTTTATCTGTCTTTCTGTCTCCTTTTCTTGTTTGTCTTTGTCTTTTTGTCTCTTCTTTTGCTTGTCTTTGTTTGTTTGTCTCCTTTTCTTGTTTGCCTCCTTTTGTTTGTCTCCTCTTTGTCTCCTTTTCTTGTTTGTCTCCTTTTGTTTGTCTCCTCTCTGTCTCCTCCTTTTGTTTGTCTTTGTTTGCTTGTCTCTCTCTTTTTTGTTTGTCTTTGTTTGTTTGTCTCTCTTTTCTTGTTTGTTTGTCTTTGTTTGTGTGTCTCCTTTGTTTTATCTTTCTCTGTTGTTGTTTTTCTTTTTGTTTGTATTATAGTGTCTCCTTTACCTCTGTTGTTTGCTGTTTTATTTATGCTGTCTCTTTTGTCTGTCTCCTTTCTTTTTTATTGTTTTTCTTCTTCAGGTGTACAGACAGAAGATGCACTGTCTCTAAGAGAAGGGGCCTTAGGCCCTTTAATTGTAGCGAGAGCTACGAAGCAAAAAGCTCCTCAACCAGATGCTGTTTGTTCTCTAGCCAGAGTAAACCCTAAACCCTAAACCCTAAACCCTAAACACTAAACAGCAACACCAGAGGGGGAAACATCCCCCTGCTGTGCTGCTACTCCTCGCATGCAACAGCAGCAGCAACAGCAGCAGCAGCAGCAGCACTAACAGCCACAGGTGCGGCGGCGGCGGCAGCAGCAGCAGCAGCACCTGCAACAACACCCTAAACAACATCACCAGCAGCAGCAGCAGGTGCTGCTGCTGCGACATGCTCACGCTGCGGCAGCAGCAACAGCAACAGCAGCAGCAGCGGCAACAGCAACCGCAGCAGCAGCAGCAGCAGTGCATCTTTTGTGTTTATTTTTTGTGTTTGTTTGTGTAGCGATGTTGGCGGGCATGCAACGCATATGACATGCAGACGAGTATTAGAAAGCTGCTAAAGAACACTCCAAGGTGCCTAAACCCTAAACCCTAAACCCTAAACCCTAAACCCTGCTGTCTCCTTGAATATGTATAGAGGGATTTTCTATAAAAGAAGATGCATGCAGCGTTTGGTGTTGGGGCTGCATGCGTTTGCCTTCAGGCTAAAGAGATGCTTCTTAGAGATATTTGCTTTCTATTCTAAGGCCCCCGTTGCTGCAGTGCTGCGACAGCAGCAGCAGCAGCAACAGCAGCAGCAGCAGTGCATTGAGGGGCTGCCTATTGGCCTCACTTTTGTTGCTTTTCGTCGCCTTTGCTTTGATCTCAGACTTCAACCCAATCTTCTTTCAGATTACACCCAGGTATATATATAAATATAAATATATAAATATATATATCTATATATGTATATGCATATATATTTATATATATTTATATTTATACATATGTATATGTATAAATAACTATATATATATATATATTTATATATTTATATTACATTCATATATTAGGATATACTTATATATTTGCTACAGGTTAATTTATTGTATGTCTATCAATCGTACAACTGGGGCTGCATGCATTCTGCTGCTGTGCTGCTGCTGCATGCGTTCGTTTATAGCTTAGTTTGTTGCTGCTGCTACCGCTGCTGCTGTTTCTATAGCATATTCAGCAGCTTCCTTAATTGCTGTCGCTTAACGGATTTTGCTGCTTCATTCCTTTTGCTGCTGCATGCATTTTGCTGCTGCTGCTGCTGCTGCTGCTGCTGCTGCTGCATGCGTTTTAGCTTCCTTCTTTCTTTGAGAAGTTCAGCGTCGAACCTGCAGAAGGACTTGTGCAGCCCCAGGGCTTTATTCGCATTCTCCCCCTATTTCTCTGGCTGCCTGCCTTAAGAGAGTTGGGTTATCTTAATCTTGTTCATACTGTAAGACACTATTATTTAATGCTGCTGCTGCTGCTGCTGCTGCTGCTGTTGCTGCTGCAGCAATAGCAGCAACGATAGCAGCAGCAGCAGTAGCAGCAGGAAGAGCATCTGCAGCAACTAACTAGCGTTGCTGCAGCGGATGACTTAGTATGATTATGTTTTGCATTTCTAGCGTTTAGGGTTTAGGGTTTAGGGTGTAGGGTTTAGGGTTTATGTGGGGTTTGTGCTTGCTTGCAGCTGAGTGCAGAGGCAGTAAAGGAGGGTCTTGAAGGCAGTAGACTTCCTCGCATATCATCTTCACGTCTCTCTTCTTTTTATAACTTCTGCAAGTGTAATGTTATCCCTCTTTATGAGAAGCTGTGCAGCAACAGAGACTTTGCTGCTTCTCTGGCTCCTCTACTGCCTGCTGATGCTGCTGCTGCAGAGGAGCAGCCGCAGCAGCAGCAGCATGAAGCAGAGACACCTGAAAGGGGACTAGAGATTGTAAATCTTGAGGTGTATGCGCAGCTTCAGCTCCCTATTGATGTGGTGTCTCTGCTGCTGTTAGACCCTCTTGAGCATCTCTTTGTTTTCTTCAGCGAAGTTTCTATGAATCCATCTCTAAATAAAAACAGATACAAGACAAAGCAGCAGCAGCAGCAACAGCAGCAGCAGCAGCAGCAACAGCAGCAGCGGGCAACGGCATACAAAACCCCGCTTGCAGGCAAGAGCAGCAGCAGCAGCAGCAGCAGCAGCAAACGTCAAGGGGCTGAGTTACCGCCAGGAGCAGCAGCAGCAACAGGAGCAGCAGCAGCAGCAGCAACATCGGCGACAAAGGTGATTATCTCTTCAGACGGAGAAGAGGAGGAGACAGTAAATGAAAATGCTTGGCTTAGTTGTGGGGTGTATATACGCATGCTGAGAGAGTGTGGGGTCGTCCCAGGGTTTTTAAGTGTCTCTGAAGCAAAAGACATAGCTCTAACTGCAGCAAAAGAGACAGCAAATAAAGGAGACAGAAGACAAACCTTTCTCCCTGTACGTACACCTCAATGCATGCATGCAATTGCATGCATACACTCCGCAGAAAGTAAACACCGCAAGAGACTAACGCCTGTAGAGACACCTGAGGAGACACCTCAAGAAGCACCTGAGGAGACACCTCAAGAGACACCTGAAGAGACAGACAAATGGTTTGTTTCTGTTATTTGCTTGTCTCCTTTTTGTCTTCAGGGGCGTCTAAACTTTAACGGTTTTGTTGATGCATTATCTCGCTGTCTCTCTTTAGCAACAAAGAAAAACCTGCAGCGAAGACTGGGAGCAAAGGAGACAGCTGGGGGTGTCCCCGCCTCCTTTGCTGCTGCTGATGCTGATCCTGCTGCTGCTGATGCTGCTGCTGCTGCTGCTACTGGGGACTGCCCCCTTATGTGCAGCAAGGCAGAGATAAGAAGAGAAGCAAGACAGCTAGCAGACATGTTTGGTCTTCTGTCTCTTCATTCAGTGCTGCAGCTAACCGGGAGACCTTTAAAGCGAGGCAAGCAAACAAATAAAACAAATAAAACAAACAAAACAGAAGAAGCACAAACATTAACTCCTATCCATACACCCAATTATAACTCAAAGAAACACGTCGTCGGCCTACGTGTCCTTAAACCCATTTAATATACTGCTGCTGCTGCTGCAGCTGTTCTCTTGCTGCTGCTGCTCCTGCAGCAGCACCAGCAGCCACAGCTGCAGCAAAAGCAGCATCATCAGCAGCGGCAACAGCAGCAACAGCAAGAGCTGCTGCTGCTGCATCGGCAGCTGCGGCGGGTGAGGCTGAGCATCCGACAGGGGAGGCAACTGCAGCAGCAGCAGCAGCAGCAGCAGCACGAAGTATCGCTGGTTGATGTATGCGGACATGCCTCCACCTGTGGGGGGCCCCTTTGGGGGCCCCCTACAGGCATAGGTACCCCCGTAGGGGGGCCCTCTACAGTTATAGGGGCCCCCTGGGGGCCCCTTAACAGTTATAGGGGCCTCCTGGGGGCCCCCATAACTGTTACTATAACTGTACAGGGGCCCCACTGGGGACCCCTTAACAGTTATAGGGGCCCCCTGGGGGGCCCCCTACAGTTATAGGGGCCCCCCCGGATTGAGTTGTTATTCTGTTTTTAGGGGTTTGGTGTGGGTTGGTGAGGCTTTACTAAGGAGTTTATATATATATATATATATAATATATATATAAATATAATACTCATATGGATATGATATTATATATTATATAATATTATATTTAATTAAAGTATTTCAGCGCTTCATAGAAAACTCGTTCGCGACTTTGAGGTTAATTGAGAGCGGAGACAGCAGAGACAGCAGAGACATTTAAGAAGAAGAGACAAAATATAGAAGAGACAAAGTATATAAAAGAGGTAAAATATATAAAGAAGAGACAAAGGAGACAGCAGCAGACTTTGCAGCGCATGCATACACCACAGCAACAAACAAACAGCAACCTTTCTTTGTTTGCATGCATGCATGCATTGCTAAGGTGTATACACACTAAATATATATATATTTATATTTATTTATTTATTAACTCAGTAGCATGTAGATAGACAAACACTCTTTTCTTTATTCAAGCCCTCTTTACCTGGGCCTCAGCATCCGTCTGCATGCAAAAGTAATAAAAATAAAAAGAAGAAAAGATAAACAGAGACGCATGCAGCATCGCAGACACCACACATTTGCACGCATGCAGCTGTATATGTGCATGCATGCAGCTGTATACATGCATGCATGCATACATATATATATATATATACATATATATATATATATATATATATATATATATCGGTTGGATATATGTGCATGCATGCAGCTATATATACATATTGTATATATATGCAGCTGTATATATATGTGCATGCATGCAACTATATATATATTGTATATTTATGCAGCTGTATATATATGCATGCATGCATGCAGCTGTATCTATATATGAATGCATGCAGCTGCATGCTTGTGTTTACGCTGAGAGCCGCGGAATTTTTGCGTCTATATTATATATATAAATGTATATATATATATATATACATTTATATATATATATAGATGTATATCTATATATATATATATGTTTACTGATGTACGTTTGTTTGTTTTTGTTTGTATATTTATTTTGCTGTTTGCTGATTATTAATGCTGATTGGTGCTCTTATTTAATTAATTAATTTATTTTGTTTTATTTTGTTTTTTTTTGTCGATCTTTGAGGCCCTCCTTAGTTTATATAAATATATTTTTATTGCTGTTTCTATAAAATAAGCAGCTGTTGTTTATTTATTTGTGTTTGTTTGATTATATAAATGAATTAAAATATTTTTATTTTTATTTATTTGTTTTATTTTCTTCTACTGCGTCTGTTGCTGCTAGCTGCTTTGCTGCTGCTGCATGCAGCCCTGGGGGCCCCTGCCCCCTGCAGTGTACGTACAGCTCAAAAGTATATATATATTTATTATTTACTTTATATATACTAATATAACTCTTTTCTTATCTCTTATCTCTTATACTACTGCTGCTGCTGTTCTCTCTCGCCTGCTTGTTTTGTTTTGCTGCTGCTCTTGCTGTCCCTTCTGCTGCTGCTGCTGCTTTTGCTGCTGCTGCTGCTGCTGCTGCTGCATGTGCTGCAGCATCGGGGGTAGAGGAGGCTGCTGCTATTTCCTCAATAGCAGTAATGTTGTTTTGTTTGTTTTTGTTTGATGTTATTTGAATAAAGTGTTTGATTATATCGTGTATAAATATAAAAAAAGAATTACCTCTTGCAGCAGCAGCAGGCGGTGTGCTGCTGCTGCTGCTGCTGCTGCCGCTGCTGCTGCTGCTGCAGCAGCAGTGTGTGCGTGTGGTGTTTGTTTCTATTGAAGAAGGACAGTAAGAGGGCCTACTTCTTTAGATTTGCTGCAGCTTATCTTCTTGTGTTTGCTTCCTAGACTCATTAGCTCGTGGAGCCTCCTGAAGCTGCAGCAGCAGCAGCAGCAGGGCAGCAGCAGCAGCAGCAGCAGCGCAGCACATAGGGGGCCCTGGTGTATTTGTTGCAGCCATTTGTATTTTCTCTTTACTGTTTTTATCTTTTTTTTGTTTTTTTGTTGTCCTCTCAACGGAGGCAGCTTCCCTGCGCAGCAGCAGCAGCAGCAGCAGCAGCAACGACAGCAGCAGCAGCAGCAGCAGCAGCAGCGGCAGCAGCAGCAGCAACGAACAACAGCGCCATCAGCAGCAACGCACATTGTCAGCAGCAGCGACAAGCAGCAATATCAGCAGCAGAAGCCACACCAATATCAGCAGCGGGCAGCTGCAGCAGCACCAACCCCCAGCCACAGTGCAGCAACAGCAACAGCAGCAGCAGCAGCAGCAGCATCAATAATAACCTTCCTTCCCCTGTCCTTCCATCTCTTGCTCCTCCTCATCAGCCGCAACATCTGCAGAATCTTCAGCAGCAACAGCAGCATCAGCCGCATCAACAGCAGCAACAGCAGCAGCAGCAGCAGCAGCAGCATTAGTTTCTATGGATTCGTATTCAGGGAGGCCCCGTGGAGGGGTGCCTCCTTCTCGAGGAGCAGCAGCAGAGGGTACTCTGAAAGTGCGTGTGGGGCGTTTGCTGCTGAGGAGACAGCGCAGCACTCCTGCTGCAGCATATGCAAGCACGTGGCAGGTATTAGGGCTTGTAAGGAATGAAGAGTTATCGTTTGCTGCAGCAGCAGCAGCAAAAGATTGTTGTTTTGTTTTGCTGTATGCTGTTGAGCTTGCTCGAGATGGGACAGCAACAGCAGCAGCAACAACAACAACAGCAACAACAACAACAACAACAACAGCAACAGCAGCAGCAGCAGCAGCAGCAGCAGCAGCAGCAGCAGAGACCGTTCGTATCCTTGCTGTTAGGCCCCCATTAAAGCACTGCCCTTCTCCTCTAGAGCAGCAGAGAGTTACAGCTAGCTTGCGAGACTTCTTACAAGGGCAGCTGATTGCTTCTCCTTTCATGCGGCACTTCATCTTAGTCTTCAAACCGCGGCACTTCTTCATTCATAAAAAGAAGCATCATGCAATACTCGGTACGTCTATTAGGCTTTAGCAGGGTTTATTAGGGTTTAGGAGGGTTTAGGAGGGCTTATGAGGGCTTGTTAGAGTTTATGAGGGTTTATGAGTGTTTATTAGGGTTTATTAGGGTTTATGAGGGTTTAGGAGGGTTTATTAGGGTTTATGAGGGTTTATTAGGGCTTATGAGGGTTTATGAGGGTTTATTAGGGTTTATGAGGGTTTATTAGGGTTTAGTAGGGTTTATGAGGGTTTATTAGGGTTTAGTAGGGTTTATTAGGGTTCATTAGGGTTTAGTAGGGTTTATTAGGGTTTATGAGGGTTTATGAGGGTTTATGAGGGTTTATGAGGGTTTAGGAGGGTTTATTAGGGTTTATTAGGGTGTATTAGGGTTTATTAGGGTTTATTAGGGTTTATTAGGGTTTGTTAGGGTTAATGAGGGTTTATTAGGGTTAATGAGGGTTTAATAAATAAATAAATAAATGAGATAGATTATAATTAAATATAATTAAATATAATTAAATATATTTTTGTTTGTTTTCTGTGTTTGTTTGCATCGAAGGCTTAGGGCAGTACGTAGCTCTTATGAACGGGGCAACGCAGGTGAACGGTTTAACTCCTTTAGAAGTACGTCTTGCTGATTGTCTTGAAGGAGACAGTTGTTATAAAGGAGACAGTACAATAAAAGGAGACAGCAGTTTGCTGCAGGAAGGAGACAGCGCAGCAAGACTATTCTCGGCTGTACAGAGAGGGCCCCCACATCGCTGCTGTCCTAACAGCACTTCAAGGCTATCTAGAGCAGGAGATGCTTCTCATCATATGCTGCAGCAGCACAACCATCTGCAGCACCCATCTACCCCAGCTGCTGCTGCTGCTGCAGCTGCTGCTGCAGCAGCAGCTGCTGCTGCTGCTGCGCAGCCGGCTGCTGCAGCAACACACAACAGCAACACGCCGCACTCTGAAGATGAACTCGATGAACAACAGCAGCAACAGCAGCAACAGCAGCGGCAGCAGCAACTGCAACTTCAGCTCCAGCTGCAGCAGCAGCAGCAGCAACAGCAGCAACAACAGACCCCGCGGATTGCAAACCTCAGGCGCAGCTACACGGGCTCAGCTGCTGCCTCTGGCAGGGATTAAAGAAAAACAAAACGCAGCAGAATCAGCAGCAGCAGCAGCAGCAGATCCTGCTGCAGCTGCTGCTGAACTAGCAGCACCAGTAACAGCAGCAGGAGCAGCAGCAGGAGCTGCTGCTGCTGCTGCTGTTTTTATTGTTTGTATATCGCATGCTATTAGGGCTACCCGTCGATGGATGGGGGGCCCTTTTGTTTTTTCTGTCTCCTTTCTGTCTATTATCTGTCTCCTTTCTTCTTTCTACTTCTTTGCTTTTCTTTGCTTCTTTATTTGGGGGGTTGCTTGTTGTGTTTGCTTGCTTTTGTTTTTTTGTCTCTCTTTTATCATTTGCTTCAGCAGAGACAGCTGAAAGACAGAAGGAGACAGTTTGTGGGGGCGAGGCCTGTCTCCTTTTTATGTCTCCTTTTGTCTACCCCCTTCACTTTATGTCTCCTCTTCTGTCTCCGTTTGTCTCTGTCTGTCTCTGTCTCTGTTTCTGTCTCTTTATGCTGCCTCTTCTGTCTCTTTGCCTCTCTCTATATCTCTGTCTGTCTCCTTTTGTCTGTCTCTGTCTCCTTTTCTACTGTCTCCTTTTCTACTGTCTCCTTTTGTTTTTCTGTCTCCTTTTCTTGTGTCTCTCCCCCGCAGCATTTTCTTTTTTTTTTTCTTCGACTCGCGCGCTGGGGTGTATGCGCCCGCAGCATTTGGCGTATTGATTCCAAGGGCTTAGGGTTTAGGGCTTAGGGTTTAGGGTTTAGGGTTTAGGGTTTAGGGTTTGTAGCTTTTTGGGGTTTAGGTTTAGCACTCTGTACGGTTTAGAATTTAGGCTGTTCGATTGTTTACGGTGTAGGCTCTTAGAAGGCTAGTACATATATATAATATTTATATAATATTATATATATAATATTTTATATATTATATATATACATGTAACACAGAGGAGGGAGGAGACAGGACCCAGAAGAGGAGACAGCTGAAAAAGGAGACAGCTAAAAAGAGAGACAGCTAAGAAAGGAGACAGCTAATTAAAACCCTTCAAAACCTTTCAAGTTTAAACGGGGGCCCCTGTCTACTCCCGACGGTGCCCTTAAAAAAACAAACGAGACAAACACCAAACCAATAGGGGGCCCCTTGGGGCCCCCATGAGCCCTCTTAGGGGCCCCCATGAACCCTCTTAGGGGCCCCCGTGAGCCCTCATAGGGGCCAGTATGAGTTCCTAGGGGCCCCCATGAGCCCCTATAGGGGCCCCTATCTTATGAGCCCTCATAGGGGCCCCTTAGGGGCCCCTATGGTCCCTTTGGGGCCCCTCTTAGCCTTCATAGGGGCCCCTATTAGCCCCTAGGGGCCCCTATGAACCCTTAGGGGGCCCCCTAAGGGGGCCCATAGGGAGGAGCTTTTATGGGGGCCCTTAAGGGGGTACTTAGGGGGGCCCCTAACAACATAAGAGGTCCCTCCAATGGGGGCCCTCTTAAGAAGGCCTAGAAGGGCTAAAAGGGGCCCCCTTAAGGGCCCCTTAAGGGGGCCCCCAAATGCTTTAGGGGCCCCCATAGGGTTGCTTAAGGGGGCCCCCAAGAGCTTTAGAGGCCCCCATAGGACCCCCTTCAGAGGGCCTAAGGGGCCCCTATGGGGGCCCCCAAGGGCTTCAGAGGCCCCCATAGGGCCCCATAAGACGGCTTAAGGGGCCCCTATGGGGGCCCCCAAATGCTTTAGGGGCCCCCTAGTATCCCCTAGGGGCCCCCCGTGAGAGTGGTTTGCTCGCTTTGTTTAGAGGGGCTTTCTTCTGTATGTGTACTTTCTATTTGTATATTTTGTGCTTTGTTTGTTTGTTTGGACATGTCTGGTGAGGGTTTGTCTGTTGTTGAGGGGCTGAGGCATAATGCCTTTCTTAATATCTTCTCAAAGCGTTGCAAAAACAAAGAAAGTTCTCCTTCTTGGGCTCCTGCATGCAGCAAACAGAGACGCGCATGCAGCCCCAATCACATTTATTAATATATATATATATATATATATTATAGGGGTGAGTATCAG